TCAAATCTCCTCTTAAAAGCCTACAAGGTCTATGTGCGTCCAATCTTAGAATCTTGCACCCCAGTGTGGAGTCCTTACCTTCTTAAAGATATACGTTGCATCGAAAACGTCCAAAGATACTTCAGCAGAATTACCTGTAAAAAATGACATATTTCTTACACTGATTGCGTATCGAGACTATCTGTTTTAAAACTCGATTCTATTGAACACCGCAGAGTCAAATTCGATATTTTTATGACCTACAAAATTATAAACAATCTTGTCGACCTTCCGTTTTCCGATTTCTTTACATTTTCCAATTCTCATTACCCCACTAGAAGTCACGCGAAAAAATTAGTTTCACGCAATAAATGTACTAACAATACACGTAAATTTTTTATATATATATATATATTATATATTTAATATATATATATATATATATATATATATATATATATATATATATATATATATATATATATATATATATATATATATATATATATATATATATATATATATGTATATATATAAATATATAAATATATATATATATATATATAATAACAAAAATAATAAAGTAAAAAACACTTCAATATATTAGGAAAAAGTCATAACAGTAAAAGTAAGTTTTTATATTGAAATAAAGTTGAAGCAATAGCAAGAAAAATATCATCAATATAAAACATATTTATCTAAAGTTAAAAAAAAAAAATTATCATTTAATAGGATTTTCCAAAACAAACTTTTTTGATCAATGTATGCTTAATGTGTTTTGTATAATAAAAAACAATTGGTTTTTAAAAATTTAAAAAAAAAATGTTTGGATGACTCTCTCAAGACCCTTATTTTTTTATAATTATTAGGAACATAACAAGTTCCTAATAATAATAATAAAAAAAATATATAAGTGTATTATGTATAAATTATATCACAATGGTCATATCATAAGTATTATGTATAAATTAAATCACAGTGGTTCTCAAGTGAAGCAAAATTATATGAAAATTTCAAAAAAAATATTGCCAAAAATTGGTAATAATGGATATTTTTCTTTTTTAGTTAATAAAATTCATTTTTTATGGTGTTAAATCTAACATATTTTTTAAATATAAATATGCAAATATATGCATTTAAACAGTTTATATATGCAAAAATATGCACTAATACAGTTAAAAAAATAATACTTGCATCATAACAAGCAGGTCTTTAATCACTTTTTTTTTTATATTACTCGCAAAAAATTTTACTGCGAAAAAATATTTGCATTTCAGGTAAAAAAAACTGTTTTTAAAAAATTTTTGAATAAAAAATATTTTGATGACTCCCTCAAAACCCTTAGGAACTTGTTATGTTTTGTTTATTTAGGAACTTATTATGTTTTGTTTGAGTGTATCATGTTGGGTCTTAAATAAAGCAAAATTATATGAAATTTTCAATGTTAGATTTAACACCATAAAAAATGAATTTTATTAACTAAAAAAGAAATATTTTTACCAATTTTTGGCAATATTTTATTCATATTTGATATTTTCATGATTTCGCTTAATTTGAGCTGAAATGTCAAGATACACTTTTGAAGATTTTTTTAGTTGATAATAATAGGAACTTTTTATATGTTTAAGGGACTCCAAAAATGATTTTTCTTCAAAAATTTTTATCATAAAAACACATTAGGAGGTGGCAGCTATATATATATGTTTTTTTAAATATAGCTGCCGAAAATTTAAAAATTTTAAAAAATATTTTAATAATAAATAAGCTGATAGTAACACAGTGCAATAACGGTTCCAATCATATGTTGAATTAAATATTTAAAAAGCCACATATTTTTTTGTTATATATATATTTTTTATATATATATATTACAAAATAAAAAACAAAATGTCTTTGTTTTGCTATTTATTTTTTCTGCACTATGTATGGTGTTGCAGAAATAAAAAACATAATAATTCCCAAAATTTTTTCCATAAAACTTCACATGCTCATATGTCTAAAGTCTTTTGTTTGATTTCTGGCTCTTAATGTTATATTCCAATCATAGCATTTGTGATCTCCCAGAAACATCATTTTCATCAATTGTCGTTCACAAACAAGAGTTGGTAATTTTTAAAATAGCTTCAATACAAGATTTGCACAATTCTTTAACATAAGTTGTGCAAAGAATAGTTGCAGATGAAACTTTTTCTCTTTATACTTTAGTAAAAAATCTACAATAATTATGTCACAAAAGCATTATTCAAATAATGATCAAACTGTAAATATAATATAGAACTACTTTTAGAACTGTTTTCTTCATTAGTTTATGTGTTAAAGATGTTCCAGACTTAACGCCATTCCTTTCGAAAAGTTATTTATACTTTGCCCTTTGCAGTTTTTGTTTAACTGAAAATAAGTCAGATAAATCAAATCAATATTAACATAACTAAAAACTAAAATAATTATTAAAAAAAAATTATCCTACAAGTAAAATTGCTTAGAGATTATTATTAGATGAAAATATTTTATTATACTTTGTACTAAAGTTTGTTGAATATTGCAACAAAAAAGTAAAAAAAAGTAAAAAAAAAATACTCTTATTAGCATTTCCCTATTTTTTAAGTTTATTAAACAGTTTATATATGCAAATATATTCACTTATACATTTAAAAAATCCATACTTGAATTATAACAAGCAGGTCTTTAATAACTTATTTTTTTATATTATTTGCAAAGAATTTTACTGTGAATTTTTGCATATTTCAGGTAACAAAAGCATATATATATATATATATATATATATATATATATATATATATATATATATATATATATATATATATTATATATATATATATATATATATATATATATATATACATATTATATATATATATATATATATATATTATATTATATATAATATATATATTATTATATATATATATATATATATATATATATATATATATATATATATATATATATATATATATATATATATATATATTATATTATATATGTATATATATATATATATATATATATATATATATATATATATTTATATATATTATTATATATATATATATGTATATATATATATATATACATACGTGCACGCACAAGAAAGCCTGATTACTCCAAGTTTTTATTTTTATTAGTAGATGTAGTAGGTTTCTTTGGCGATAATTAAAGTTTAATAAACGAATAAATTTAATGAACCTTAATACGCTTAGGGTGGGTACATTTTCCAAAAGTTAACAAACTACCCCTCCTTACCCCTCCCTCTCTCCTTACCCCTCCCTCGAACCTTACCCCTCCTTCGTTTTAAGTTCCTAAGAGTGAGCGCTTTAACAAATTTGACTATCTCAACTTCTTTTTGTTTAAGCGCTAAACATTTTTTAAAATAAAAATATTTAAAATATATTTAGTTATGGGTATATAAATTTCTTTTTAAAAGTTGCAACTAAATAAAATTAGTACATACTTACAAAAATGCTTTGAATAAGTTTTAATCTGTAATTTTTAAGAAATTTAAATTTCAACTCTCAAAAATTTCGTTTTAAATGGTTTTTAATCTTTTTAAATTAACTTTTTTAACAAATTAAGATGGTAGTGTCTATAAATAACTCATCAAATTATTCATCAAAATATCCATCGAATTTTCCATCAAACAATTCTATCAAATAAATTTTAATTGTATCGTTAATTTAAATGTGAATCGAGTAGCGGACTGGCAAATTTGAGCGGCCCGGGAAACCTTAAGTGAAACGGCTTTTAAAAAAACAACAATATAATATAAAATAACATTTTAACATAATATTACATATAATTATATACTCAATAAAAATAAATAAACTAAAAACTACTATTAATAACTAATTTACTAATACCTGGAGCATTTTTCTTACTTTATCTATTATTGTATTATTATTTAAAATTAACCAAAATATCTTTCAACCAAAATAATATATATAAATAAATTAGGTGGCCAGGAATTGGTGGTTTTACCTTCCGTTGTTGTTTTTATGTTTTAACAACAAGATAACAATAAAACAGTTTACTTTAAAAAAATTTTTAATCTGAACTTTTAACTGAATAACTTTTTAACTAGAAGAAATAATTTAAACGTTTACATATCGCCAGCCTCGCGGCCTTTAATTCGACCAGCCCACCGGGAAGTGTTCCGTTTTAAGTGTTAAACAGATACATCCCCTGCTTTAAAATATCTTCGGGATTCAAGGGAAATGCACAAAGTCCAAAAACATCATTTGAGATAATGAGCAAATATGATTTTTGTGTAATAGTTGAAATAATAATTTTTTGTGTAATAATTAAAACAAAATATCTTAATAACTCATTAATAATTGATTTATTAAATTTGTGTGTTATATCAAATGATAGAGAATTTAAAATACTAAATAGTGGTATAAATAACTCCATACTGTCAAAAATGGACTTCGTGTATTTTTCTTGTATACCGACAATAAGTTCGTTTTAATACGCAACAATAGTTACAAAACACCAAGCGTTGACTCGTTTAGGAATTAAAATTCGCTGCAGTGACTTCCGCGATATTTACAACGGTAAAACAAAATACAAACAAAAATTAATAAAAGTTTCAGAATAAGACAAAAGAAAATGTAAAAAGATACTTAAAAAGACCGATGAAGTGAAGCATAAGTAAAAAGAAAAGTATTTTTATTGCTATTACTTTTTGTTAACTTTGTTGTTTACTGTTGTTAGCTTACTTGGCGGACCTGTACACGGCGCACCCTAAACTCGGTGAAGTTCGTTAATTCTCGGAACGAATATTCTCGGTGTTTGCTTTTGGTATTTTACAGAATAGGCGCTAAAATATTACGTTAATTCGCGCCATAATGGTAACGTTGAAAATAAAAAAACAAAAACTTGCGTAAATGCATTTTAATAAAAATTTAACATTTTAGAAAAAAAATTAAATTTTACAAATTATTAACATATATACATTAATATTAGATTAAATAGATCTTCTAAAGATGTCTTCTCTTCTTAAGATTTCTTTTTGTAGCTTATCTTCTTTTAATCGATCATCTAAAGGTATTTTCTCGTATCTTCTCTTCTTTACATTTCTTTTTGTGGCTAATCTTCTTTTAATCGATCTTCTACAGTTATCTTCTTGTAGCTTATCTTCTTTGTATATCTTTTTGTGGCTTATCTTCTTTTAGTTTTTGCAACGTATATTTTGTGTTGTACATAAAAAAAAAACAAGGTTTACATTGAAATGGTTGTAACCTAAGTTATTTAAATTAGTATAAGAAGCCCACTGATCTGAATGTATTATTGATCCAGGTGCAACCCATTGTTGAATTATTGGCACTAATGTCTGAGCTGTTCGATCCTCTACCCTTCTTAAGTATCCTTTCTTACTAGTTACATCAAATGCCCCAAAAATCCAATGTTTTTCAACGTTATGCTCAACATTATATTTTCGTTTAAAAAATAAAGATTCATCTATTTCTACAATGAGCCCTGGACCACCTAATTGATTAACAGCAGCAACATCCATAGTTTTAAATGAACAAATGTCCCGGAAGTATTGATACCACTGAATTGAGGTTTTTTCGTTTACACCTACTACCTCAGATGCAGCGGTTACAGGGACCTCCAGGATCCATAAAAACATTAATTGAAGTATCAGACTTACACTTAAAGATGGAGAGCTTTCAAAAAATCCTGCTCGAATTGACTTCGTCTTTTTGCAAGTGTTACATCGCCAAATATGTTTTTCCTTAAATAAAGTATTTTGAAGATACACGGGATAATCTGTTTTGAGTAAATTATAATAAAAATGTTAAGTATTTATACTTGACAACGTTCATAATTTTGCACAAGCATCCTTTGACCACATAGACAAAGTTTTTGAAGTGGCAATACCCTTTTTTGTTGCAAAAAATCAACCAATTTTTCTTCTTTGATACTTTCAATGAACTCAGCTAAAGGTGTCATCTTACTTATTATAAAGGCGGTAAAAAATTGGCTTTTGAAGCGCGAATTAAAACTTTTGTGTTAAATTTTCATTCGTTAATATTAGCCAATCATTAAACAGCAAAATTATTGTTTCGAACTTTACCGAGTTCGTTTACGAACTTCACCGAGATTAGGGTGCGCCGAGTACAGGTCCGCCCTGAGATGTCTAAATCTTTGAAATTGTTGGAACTTGGTTCTTGATATAGCAATACTATACTAATAGTATATCAAGTATATATATATATACATAGTATAGCATATATTCAGTTTTAAACCGTTTCTTTCATTATCTGTAAAAATTTCATTACCTGTATCAATATTATCACTTTTTTCAAGTAATTAATAACAAAAACAAAAATTAGATGGAACGTGTCTATTAGTTGTTGTAAAAAGACTTCTTTTGTAATTGAAAAAAAATTTTATTAAAAATGCGTTACTTAAAAATTTTAAAAAGTTTTAGCGATTTAACTGATTTTTTTTATTTAATAAAGCATTCTGGATATTTTTTGGACGAAATAATTATTGGACGCGAAAAAGGCGTTCAAAAGACGTTTAGAGTTTTAATGGAACGGACGGACGCGATTTTAACGTCCTAAGGACGTCTTTTTTACGTCCTGTGCCCACTGGGTAGGTACTGTAGAATATAATTGATAGTGCATTATAAATAGAAGAAAATTGCTTAAAAATGGAAAAAAAAATAAAAGATACAACAATTAATTAAGCCAACATTGTATATAAAAAAGAAGATAAATGCTCTACTGTCAATCATAAATGTTAAAATTCAAAACTTTGCTAATTACTGCTATATAAATAAAGCTATATATATAGTATATAAAGTAGAAAATAGTGCTTCCTATATATGGTTGAGAAGAGGTAGATTTAAACTGAATAATGCAAAAAATCTAAAGTTTCATGCTTAACCTTAAAAGAATATATAAACAAGTAAAGTTCAAAAAAATTATAGGGTTTTTGTCTAACGCAAAAAACTGTAAATAATCGCTACCTATACCCAAACGCGCACACACACACACTATATATATATATATATATATATATATATATATATATATATATATATATATATATATATATATATATATATATATATATATATATATATATATATATATATATATATATATATATATATATATATATATATATATATATATATATATATATATATATATATATATATATATATATATATATATATATATATATATATATATATATATATATATATATATATATATATATATATATATATATATATATATATATATATATATATATATATATATATATATATATATATATATATATATATAATGAATATGTATGCATCGTATAAACATTATAATATATTGTATGAATCATGTATATATAAATATTTATACATCAAATTAAATGAAACAACACAGTAACAAGGTGTCCACATAAATAATAATCTTAATAATTATTTATGCAACCCATGATGAAAAAATCATAAAATTGAATGAAACAACACAGGAAGAACAAAATATAGATGCAACTCTCTATTATAAGTTGGTAAAACACAAGACGAGATGGCAAAATGGACATACATCTTTTAAAGCAAAGTGTGGAATTATTTGCCACAACAGATGGTTTACCACAGCAGAATCTATCATTTTTTTCAATATGAGTTATCACATGTTTACTGGTGACGTTCTTTGAAAGTTTCTTTTAGTTGTCTAATAGGTAGCTCAAGTATATTTCCACATGTGGTATGAAATAAAAGTGAAACACAGTATTGTAGATGGCCCAGGTCACATAGTAACACTGTTGCGATTGCTGAAAAGACAATAAAATATAAGTTCAAAATATTGCCACACAATAAATTCAAAATACTTTTCCCACTCAGAATCTCTGATTTTAGCTCTTTTATCAAGATCAGATAAAGAATTGAGAACATTTGCCATTAAGACAATTAAAGACATAAGGAAAACCTTTCAGTTTGGAGACACAGCTGTAAGGTCACGAAATAGGTTTTTCTCAATACAGAAGCTTTATCTATCAAAGAGCTAAAAGATTTGGAGAATGAAATAATATCGGAACCAGTGTTTGCATGTCAAATCTCTACATATGATCTTAAAAAATATCTGGTAACTCGTTTTGAGGCTCCTACTTTCCTCTTTACACGCAATCTTGAGATAGAGCTGTAAAAGAGGTTACTGAAGCAGCAATTTCTGTTTGTGGTTTTGAAAAGAGAGACAGTTTTTTAAGAACTTTACACAATCTTAATTCAAAAAAAGACTTTGTAGTACTTTTTTTAACAAAGTTGTGAACAAAAAAATAGTTAAGATAAAACATTTCAAATAACAATTTCCCATTTCTAGATTGCGCTCTAGATAAGACAATTTATTATTTTGATTTCTTAGTTGTGTTCATCTATTTAGAAAACTGTAAAGCTCAAATAAAAACTAGATAAAAATGTTAAATTGCTTTTTATGATTTTAAGCTAAAAATAAAAGCAAAAAAAAAACTACCAAATCAATGCATTTTGAGTAAAACTTTTTTCAAACGGCCTTTGCGCACTGAGATTTTTTATTTAAATTATTCACGTATCATAACATATGGTAATATATATATATAAAAATCTCTACAGTTCAACAAAATTTACACAAAAATTTTAAAAGTATGATCCGACCTTGATTTATGCCTAAAATCAACAGTTTTACCTTCAAAAAACTTATTTTGTAAAATGTAATAAAATTATAAAAATTTAGGAAAACACTTTAATTGGCATACTTTAAAATAAACTGTTTAATTGCATAAAAATTGAAGACTTTTGATAAAGGTACACGGTCGTTTAGATATTAGTAAAAAGCGCTATGCTTAGGTACGCATGCGTAAGAAAATACGAAAAACTTTTGAACTTTTAAAATGGCTACGGTTCTTAACTACAGAGAATATTTTATATGGCAACAGTTTATTTGTTAATTAATTTCTGAAAAGCCAATGATATAGCCTTATTTTATTTTAACGTAAATCAATAAAATAATACAAAAATTTCACAAAAATATAAATTAATAGAGGTATCAAAAATCTTTGCGCGCTAAAACTGTTTTTTTACTTAATTCTTTTTTAGTGTAAATCATAGATTTGTTTATTTATTTAAAATCAATTTTCTAAAAATCTGAAAGTAGGATTTCAATAATTTTTTTTTTAAACTTCAGATAAATATGTTCTATATGTATGATATTTTTCTGGTCATTGCTTCAACTTTCTTTCCATATAAAAATTTATTTTTTCTATTATGACTATTTCCTTATATATCTGACTTATATATATGACTTATATATATTTCCTTATATACTGTTATGACTATTTACGGGAGCGCGTCGAATAACCGAAAGACCAATTCCGACGATTAGTCGATCCCAAAACCCGAAAATAGAAGAAACACTTTCTAATTCCAGTCGAAAGTCATTTTAACTGTAAAAAATAACATGTCTACTATTATTCACTGGTTGCCACTAATAATAGTAGAATTCTTCTAAATTTTGTCATAATCTGTGTAATACACGAATTTTGTACAGTCCTAAAAATAGTCGATACCCTAAATTTTGTCAATTTCTGTGTTTTAGTCGAATTCTGCCACTATCTGTTAAATAAACGAATGACAAATACCTGATTTGAGTCGAATTTTTTCTGAAGAATTGGTGGATTTGTTAAATCATCGAAATACGTATTGGCAAAGAATACAAACAGTCGAAAATGTTTTCGGCTATTATACGGGTATGCCACTATTTTTAGTAGAAAGACAAAAATACATTGTCCAAGTCCGTTAACCAGTCGAAATTAAAATTCGGCTATTCTCTGTGGCTGCCACATAAACCAGTCGACAGCAATAAAAATTTGGCAGCGTCATCAAAAGAGTCGAATTTAATTAAACCGGTCGAAAAATTAATTAAACCATCCAAACCATCGAATTTCGACTATAACCACTAGCCTGTACGTATTTTGAGTCGAAATGTCAGGGTTTTTTTTGAAATAAAAACATTTGTTTTAACCGTCAATCACTTCTTATTTATTTACAAAGGTTTAGGATCGTGAATATTCTCACAATCCGGAATAGTTTTACTATGAATATGAATATGAATTACCATACATAGTATTACGGTAATACGGTTTATAAAACGAATGGGCCGTCGCCTCAATAGCCCTAAAAAATGGTAATGTCTGAACCTGCGCGAACGCATCAGTTCATCATTGGGTACGGATCTTTGTAAGGGCCCGGAGGCAAAGTTGTCTGAAAGTTTTATCCAGGCCATCAATAACGCATCCATCCATCGATTGGCTACAATTTGTTTTTGCCTTTCATTTTGTTGTTACCTGGATGCAAGTTACTTCTCGTTGTCGTAATATTACTAATGGTCAGTTCATTTGATTTAATTCAAGTTTAAATTCAGTAGATTATCAAAGAAAACATAAATACTTGGTCTATCTCATTAGTTGCGATGTGCACCATCTGTTGATCTTGAAGATCATGGACAAGTCCATAGATAGCGCCCTCTGGAGATAAATCATAAAAATGACAAAGGTTGATGGCACAGGTCCCGGCAAATGTCGAGACCATTAAAAATAAGCAAATAACCATTAGGTTCTATTCGCCATTAAGGAAGATACTTTAAACTATGACAATCACATTAACCGTCTATAACGTATAATACTAAACCAATGAGTATTTTACTATTTTGAATGCATTTCATACATTACTACTTTAAAGTACAGGCAGGGTCTTCGTAACTAATAGTATGGACAATGGATAATTTGCTAAAAGTTATGTTGACAGTGGGGCCATAGTTAATTAAATAGTTTTTATTTAATTAAAAATGGTTTAGTAATTCCAACGCCATCTTACAAAAAAAGAACAAGGTTTAAGATCGTGAATATTCTCACAATCTCAAAATATGGATTCTTCTTATTACTCACAAAAAATAAAAACTGGCATCGGATTCGAACCCAGGACCTTTCAATCATGGGGCCGGTACTCTGCTGCCGATGTCAGCTTGAGATCGCAAAATTTATGAATGGTTTTATCACAATGATAAAAGACAAATAAAAGAAACATGGTTATGAATCATTTATTGTACTTATTATGCTTACGAACAACTTTTTTTCTTCCGGCTTGCATTTGTCTGACTTTTCTTGAGACAATACGTCTTTTGTCGACTATCTTATTGGCGGTGTCCTTCAATCCTCTTTCTAATAAAAGCCATTTGTGAAGTTCTGATTTGTTTCTTCGGTTTTGTCTGATTTTTCTGGCAGCTATACGTCTTTTGAAGTATACTTTCCTTTCAATCTTTTTCAGTACTCTGTCGACTTGAAGCCAGATCTCAAGGGGTCCCATCTCAAGCCTGTTAGCTGTAGTGAAGTTGTTCAGTCCTTTTTCAACTTCAAGCCTGTCCTGAATCAGGAGGTCTTCAAATAGTGGGTCCGGTGCAATGCTTGTTGTTTCTGTAGTATTTATGACTGGCCAAAGACCAAATGCCAAAGGCCAAAGACCAAAGATGTTCATGGTGAAAAAATTTAGCTTCAACTACAAATAGTTAACTGTTCATCTGAATAACGCGGATAAACTGGCGTACATTTAGCGTTAGCATCTTATAAGTTGTCCAAAGTAAATATGAGTTACGAATAACTCCCCCCAGATTGAGCAGAGTGTTTTGAAAAATAACAAAAACATATCAACCGCTTGTGAAACGGCCTATTTTTCGCTGGGGGGAGTTTGTACAAATCAGCTGACCAGTTTATCCTGACCCATTAATTCCCTTAGTCCCTTAAGGCATTTCTCTCTCTCTCTTTATGAATGTTTTTTTAAACAAAAAAAAAACAACCTAAATTTCGAATCCCTGTCAGGACTCAAACCCCGGTCGTCCGGGTGAGAAGCGAGTACTATAACCACTAGACAGGAACCCCAAAGAGGTTCCAAAAAATGAAGTATTTTACAGAGACCCCCAAGGGGTTAGCCTACAAAAGTTTCTTCTTCACCCGCGGTACAAAATGTACAAAACTCGGGAAATCATAAAAGTGTTATCAAAGGTACAATCTGTTTATTTAGTCAATTTATAAGAAAAATACATGAAAAATGAAAGTAGATGTAAAAATAATAGGAAATAGAAAGCCATTTCCAGTCAATTTTTTCAGGCGTAGAACAGCCGATGTTGCTAAGTAACCCGTGTCCTACATACGGGGCACAAATAGACGCCCTCGGGTTCATCGTCAAGTCCTTGGGCTTCGAGAAGGGCTGCACATGTTGAACACACGCAGACATGCCCGCACGGCAGTAGTATTGTGTCCTTGGGGCTCGCCATGCAAATGCAACACGGTTCTGCTGCTGGACCTGCGGCGGCGGGACCTGCGGCGGCGTGACCCGGTTGCTGTTGTCCATCTGCCTGTGGCCCTGCGGCTGCCAGGAATGCGTCATCATCTCCGTGTCTGAAAGTATTGAACACATTTTAAAGATAAGTTATTAATGAACACATTTTAAAGATAAGTTTCATATGAAATTAATCAACATCGTATTATAAATAGAAAATACTAGAAAATGATTGAAATTATACTTGGTATACTTACTCGTCAAAGACTTCGTCGTCGCCATCCTCATCATCAACGTAGCCATCGGCGGCCATTTCTGCTGCCAGCTCTGCATCGGCCTCATCCTGATCTGGGTCATTCGGAAGAACCGGAGTGGGCACTCTGTGGGCCATAAAATGGAGGTGTTGAATGGGGGTGATTTCCCCATTGGCCAGTCGCTCCTCCTGATTCTTCACAGTTCTGGCCGCTACCTGGTTTGATAATTTGGTGTTCCTCCGGATCCTGATGTTGTTGTCCAACTGTAGGACATCGATCTTTGCTGGCTCGATGACGAACATCCTCAGATCTGAGAGGAATCTCCAGATTGTCGACGCCTTTGCCAGCTTCAAAGACATTCTGAAAAATTTGGGAAAAGTTATAAATAATGAACAACAAAAATAACCAGATCGTGAATATTTTTACATTGTTAACTCAAAAATATTGTTAAGAAATAACTCACTTCATATGGAGACTTTCGCAGACGTTGTTGGTCTTATGTGCAAGACCGTACGTAGAGATCAGCTGGGGCCCGATGCCTTGGAACCACCACTTTAAGAAGTAATTCCTGTGCATTATCTGGACTTGCTTCCGGAGCCTGAGTGGTTGTAAGTGGAGCACTTCTTGCTTCAGCTGTTGGAATACCGGTACCATTTGGTTCGCCGGTAGAGTGCTTAGGGCCATGTGTTTGAGCATCAGATTCCTAAACTCAACATTTTTATAGAAATCTTCCTTGTTGCGAGCACACACTTTCCGGAGAACTAAAAAGAAGTAAATAACAAAGATAAATAACGTGTTAAAAATCAATTAAATGGTTTAAATATTATTTACCTGCTTGGCTGAAGTGAAATCTGCATCCAGACACTCTCGATTCTAGAAAGGCAGTTTGCATGGTGTTCAGGATCGCCCGTTCGTAGTCCGACATCACACTTTTTGGCTTGAAGTCCAATCCAACCAAAGCTTTGAACCGCTCCATGATCTGGCCGTAGAGTGCTTGCTCCTTGCATGTCATTAAGACATGCATCACCGCGACAGAGTAATCTTTGTAGATGACAATGATGTTCAACAGTTGAGAAAAGATATCGTGGTGAGGCCGTGTTTTAAAGGTGGCATCGACGAAGAGTTCTTGAGTCTCTGAAACAAATACCCAAAATGATAAATTTGCTTAAAAGTAATTGTACAAAGATAAAAAAGTTGTTGTATCTAACCCCTTTAAAACAATTTAAAATTACCCAAAATGATAAATTTGATAGAACATAGTATCAAAACAACTCGCAAATTAAAGCAGTGTACTCACTTTCAACGAGAGCGAGAAGTTTTGGATCTGCAAAAATGAATCCGACCTTCCCATCTTCGAATTCGACGAAACCTTGGTAGATGTCTTCGAACGGATGTCCATTGTCGAGAGCTTCCTTCAATTCTGCCAGATTCTTGGGAATCGGAGGCAGGTTCTTCCTTCGTTTATTCCTCATGATGGACTCGGCAGCCTCGAAATTGAGGTTTTTCTTCACGGCCTCAGTCGACTGGGTAAGGACAGAGTTCCAAATGTCCCTCAGCGGTTCGGTAGTTTGCCCTAGAATAAAATGAATTTTTAATTAAAGATTTTAATTAAGTTAAAAATGTTAAAATTCGATTATTCACATTGGCAGACATATGTTTTCAGTCGAAATATGGCTTAATAAAAAATTCAAAAACAAATATTACCAGCTCGAAATTTCATCCGTGCCTTGGCCTGCAAAATAAGGTACTCATCACTCATGTCGCCACATGAGTGATCCTTCCCCAGGTACAGGGTATCGTCCTTAATCCTTGCAGTACCACCACATGAACCTAACAGGGTTAAATGGGGATCCCGTTAAATGTTAAGATACAATCATGATAATGGTAATGATAATAATTCTAAAATCGTGAGTATTTTCACGAGTTAAAAAAAGTATCCTATTAAACAATTAAAAATTACCTCTTTTCACCGTGTAGCGATGGCACTTTAGATAAGTCGTTGGTCGAGCGTCTGTGCCATCCTTCGACAGCACATACACTTTTTGGAACTCGTCGAACCAGATAGTTGGGGAGCCTTCCATTTCATATCTGGTGTAGTTCCGGACTTCAACAACATTATGAAAGCAAGCTGGCCCAACCACTGGTTCTTGCACTTGAGCCTCTGGTGCTGGTCTAGGCCTGACCTCCATCGGCATCGCAGCCTCCACCTCCTCGACCTCCATTGCAACAGGTGCCTGAGCTTCGACCTCCTCAACGGTGTCGTCCAGCCTCAATTCGAATGCAGACGTTCAACCACAGACATCAAAAGCCGTCACGAAAATGGTTGCTATTTCATTGTTGGTAACTAATTTTTTTTTAAGTACAAATCGTGGTAGACTATTTTCAACGTTCAACCACAGACTTTCAAAGTGTTGGGAATTAATTAGACGAAAGCTAAAATCTGAGATGACCCATACAAATACAACGCGACACATGTACCCTTAAGGGGAAAAAATATATATATATATAAAACCTAATAACCTACTCAGTACTCGAACATAATAATATGAAGTCATTGTACTTACAAGAATTTATGTTATGCAAATAGGTAGATAATACTAAGTCAAAGCCAAACATGTATAATTGAGTCCTAGTATAAGGCTAAGTACATGGCTAAGTAATAATTTCAAAACAAAAAATATAAAATACGAAAATTATGAGCTGTTATTCATTAAAATAAGTAATAATAAATCAAAAGAAGATAAAGTTAACCTTACCATAGCTTTGTTAAACGAGAAAAGAGAATTCATAACATGTGCAAATTAAAAAACTAAAGTGCATCACATGTATGACGTAAGTTGCGGTAAAATGGTGAAAAGTGGAAACAATAGAAAATATGCGTTTTGAGTAAAATTTAAGAAGATTTTTATGTGATTCTTAAATGCAAGCCGATTGGTTGACAAAATTGTCAGGTGTTTTATGATTGTTGTTCTGAGTTTGGAAGAGACAAATTTAAAGAAACGAGTAAAAAATATTCATTAAAAAACAGATTCTTGGAGCACTATTATATTTCAAAACCTAATTTTACAGAACATCAATTCCCGATGCTGACCCTTTGTCTTTCAAGAAGGCGGCAATCGACAGCCTATTTTCTCGTTGCTGCTTTGCAGCCCTGCGAAAGTTACTTCCGCGCCTTTTTCTTGTCCCCCTAGTTTTTCTTTCGGGGCATAGTGTGGAGACAAATCCCTCTTTACTTCCCTCGTTGCTCGGTGTCCTGTCGTTTATTTTAATATTGGGGCATGGTGTAGGGATAATGTCCTATTTATTGTTGGTCGGTGTCGTGTCAGCTGTTTGAGGGTTCTACGGAGAAAGACACACATCTACATATGCACACAAACATATACACACATCTTTAATACGCATCTTTCTACTAAAACCAAATAAATGTTAGGGGAATAGAATATTTCCACTAAAACGGGAATAATTTTAAACAAAAAATTGGAAAAAACGAATATTTCCATATAAACGGTATTAACTATGAACTAAAATTAGGTACAAGCGTAGTTTTTTACTAAAACGGGCTATTTACATACTAAAATTGGAGGCAAACGAATATCTCCACTAAAACGGTATTCATTTAATCAAAAATTAATTTTATTAATAAAACTAAAAGTAGGAAAACCAAATATTTTTCTACTGAAACAGTTAAAATCTATTATCGAAAATTACACTAACTACCACAACTCGGATAACATCACTAAACTAAATAAAACATCACTAAACTAAACTAAATAAAACATCACTAAACTGAGTCTAACTAAAAAGAAACTGACAGGACATTATTAAAACAGGCACCTTACACTGAATTGGACACTGGACAATATCCTACTCTGAACCTCACCTCTTTATACTGGACATCTGTCCTAATATTATAATAACTCTAGCATTCTCTAGCACTTACGTAAAATATTTCTATCTTCCCTCAAAACTATAACGGCCCAGCGTGTTCCAAACAAGTGGTGGAACTTTAATAGCTTCCACTGCGAAACAATTGAAAAATCAAAAGCAAAAGCAAAAGCAAAAGCAAAAAGCACCGCAAAACTACCCCGTCCAACTCGTCTACCTCTTCTGACGAGGAATCGGACGCTTCGAATACTTCTAGAGATTCAATTTTGAATCCTAGAAAGGCTGGGAAAGGGAAAGGGAGGAAAGAGAAAAAGGGTAAGGCTTTGCCGTTACCTCTCCGCACTGCAACATGGCGGTCAGCTTCAGACCTTCCTCCCTCAATTCAACAAGACATTTTGTCAACTTATGGTCACTATCAATTTTCAAAAATTTTGGACCCGCAAATTCGTGAACACATTGGGAAACTCAAACCCTCTAATTGGACTTTACTTTTTGCAAATTCTGTAGGCAGGTGTCTTGTGGACGCCTATAACCTGATTAAACTTGTTTATGACGGTAGTAGGGCCCGTCCCAAGTACACCAGCCCGCTTAGGGAACATCTTGCCGCAGATTTACTTGCCGCAGATTTACCTGATGCTGCAGATTTCGCCCCCGCAAATTCTATTTTCAATTAAATTTATTTCATTTCTTCTTTTCATTCGCTTCTTTTTCAATCATTTTCCCTTTGTTTATTTCTTTCCATTCAATTCAAAAAACACAAAAACCAAAAAAATTTAAAAATACAAAATCCAAAAACAATTTAAAATACAAAATCCAAAAAAATTTAAAAATACAAAATCCAAAAAAATTATAAAAAGCAAAAAACCCAAAAAAGATTGTAAGATGTTAATTAAAACGTAGAATAACTACGTAAAGCCGCAGTACGCACGCTCTACAACCTTTTAACCGGTAATTTTTAACATAATTTGATAGAAATTTTCAAAAATTGAGATAATATTCACGATCTTATAATGTTATTCATCAAACTTATTGGTTTAATTATAATCATCATACTTATTAGTTGCAATTTAGTATTACTTGATGGTTTTTCTTTGATTCTTTGTTCGTGTTATAATGCTAATCATCATTCGGATTGGTAGAATTTTACATTATTTTGTTGCAGGCTAATCCGGATCTTAACTTCACTGTGGCTCACTTCTACCTCCTTCTTCTAGTAAAAAATCAAAAAAAATAAGAGGTAAATACTACCAGTTATTAATACTGAAGACATTTTGTGAATAGACACTGTTTACATGGGTCCCGTGTATCTCTGAACCAATATTCTAAAACTTAATACTTATAAAATTCGGTTTCAGATCATCATTCAACGCGTTCGATTGGACCCGTTTGATTGGACCCGCTCGATTGGACCCAGAAACGTCTCTCCTCTCATCCAGACTTTAATTGGTTGAGGTAACGCACAACGTTCTATTTTCCAATTACATTAGTAGTCAATATTACAGTATTACAGTAATTGAACATTTAAAAAAAGTAATATTGCGTTTAAACGTTCGCATCTTTAGTTAGTTACATAACAATTGAAGAACTTTTCCTAAATATTTCAGGTCTAAATCGTGTCGACAATTTGAGGTGCCCGATCGTTTGTTCGTGTCTGGATTCGATAATCAGGATGGAGGATATTCGTTCTGGAACGGATAAAACAACAAATACAAGATGCATGCATGTGTGAATGAAGTGAATGAGACCCTTGGAATTTTTTTTCCTCATTTCTGAGGGTTTTTTTGTATACGTATGAGACATTTGTGAAGTATGAGAAAGTATGAGACCCGTGACCTTTTTTTCCTCATTTCGGAATGAGGTTTTTTTTATATACGTATGAGAATGAGACCCTTGTGATAATCAATTTTTTTTCCTCATCATGTTGAGGTTTTTTTTGAAATACAAACATTTGTTTTAACTGTCAATCACGTCTTATTTTTTTACAAAGGTTTAGGATCGTGAATATTCTCACAATCCGGAGTAGTTTCACTAGAACTGAAGTATAATTTCGACTCAAAATACGTACAAGTTATAGTCGAAATACGATGGTTTGGAGGGGTTTAATTAAATTCGGCTCTTTTGATGAAGCCGTCGACTGGTTTATGTGGCAGCCACAGAGAATAGCCGAATATTAATTTCGACTGGTTAACAGACTTGGTCAAAATAAAACAGTTCGATTATTTATCAGAACACGTCATGACAAATAGTCGAATTTCATTTTTCGACAATTTATAAATATTTGTCCAAATAAATTCGGTTAGAAATGATTTATGACAATACACAAATTCGACTGGTTATCGGAACAGGTTTTATTTCGATTATTTGACTGTATTTGACAAAATTATTAATTCGGGTAGTTGTCAAACCTCGTCATAGTTCGTTTAAAAACAAAATATGTCATTCGACTATATCACAGACTACGTCAAAATCGTGTTTTTCGTCGACTGTTTGTAGAACGTGCCAAAATCTTATTTTTTTTCGACTATAATACGGAATTTGTTCATTCGGCTATAAATCGGATTTTGTTTTTCGGTTATTTGTCTGTTTCCCCTATTTACTTATATAAGTGCAATTTCATTATTTATTTTGTTATTTACTAATTTTCTTATATATATATATATATATATATATATATATATATATATATATATATATATATATATATATATATATATATATATATATATATATATATATATATATATATATATACATATATATATATTACATTGTAATTTAAAACAATAATGTTTAAATGTATATATGTATATATATATATATATATATATATATATATATATATATATATATATATATATATATATATATATATATATATATATATATATATATATATATATAGTAACAAAAATAATAAAGTAAAAAACACTTCAATATATTAGGAAAAAGTCATAACAGTAAAAGTAAGTTTTTATATTGAAATAAAGTTGAAGCAATAGCAAGAAAAATATCATCAATATAAAACATATTTATCTAAAGTTAAAAAAAAATATTATCATTTAATAGGATTTTCCAAAACAAACTTTTTTGATCAATGTATGCTTAATGTGTTTTATATAATAAAAAACAATTGGTTTTTAAAAATTTAAAAAAAAAAATATTTTGATGACTCCCTCAAGACCCTTATTTTTTTATAATTATTAGAAACATAACAAGTTCCTAATAATAATAATAAAAAATATATATAATTGTATTATGTATAAATTATATCATAATGGTCATATCATAAGTATTATGTATAAATTAAATCACAGTGGGTCTCAAGTGAAGCAAAATTATATGAAAATTTCAAAAAGAATATTGCCAAAAATTGGTAATAATGGATATTTTTCTTTTTTAGTTAATAAAATTAATTTTTTATGGTGTTAAATCTAACATATTTTTTAAGTATAAATATGCAAATATATGCATTTAAACAGTTTATATATGCAAATATACGCACTAATACAGTTAAAAAA